TTAATTCTTGAGATTACGATCAACACTCTAACCAAAAGGCATTGGCTTCACATTTCTGTGAAATGCTTCCAGGAATGGAATGGTTAATCTCTTAAATCCAGATTGATTTCATATGTAATTGCTTCATATAGCATGTTTTTAACTCAACTATTCCTTGAATGTTGTTACCATTTGTTTTCACTAGTATGTGCATATGAATTCATTTCTGAAAAATCTAGAAACATGCTATTTTCCAGAGGTACGATGTACAAATAGAAGTTTGTGCATGCATACTATAAAAAAAAAACCTAAGGAAATGGCTATTTCAAAATGGGGAATGTATAAATGTTGCATGTTTGATTATATTACAAATATGTTGCAGGACAGAATATATTGTATCCAACTTAACCAAGCTCCTGATATATAAGTCAACATGTATTTCTAACATCAAGAAGAAGAATCAGTAACTAATTAAGAAAAAATAATAAAATTGCCAAGTAAGTAACAAGGAGGGCATCAGGAGAGGTGGAGACATACATTTTGTGGATAACAGAGGATGATCTATGCAAACAACACAGTATTTCTAATTCCTGCTGTGCACCAGTGTTATATTTTAAATGGTACATTTAATTATCCACGGGAAAAGTGACAGTTCTGCTTTAACTTGTTCAACAAACCCATTTCATTGCTTCTATATGTAGCATCAGCTTATGATTGTACAAGGATCCTATGTTTTCTAACTTGGGTTCCTACTCTTTCAATGCTCTTGAATAGATTACTCTTTCAATGCTACTCTTTCAATGCTCTTGAATAGATTATGCTTTTGTACAGTCTGCTTGTTCTGAAATTGCATTGCATAGATGTTTTGTGGAATAGAATAAGGAACTTCATAGATGCACTAAAATGCTGACTGGCATATGAGGAGAGCACAATAAAGGGGAAGCTCTTTTAAGAATGATGCCTTTTTCTGCATAATAATTATGTACATGCAAACAAAAAAAAATATTTTAAAAAAGCATGCCCAAATTTGCAGTATCTATTTGCAGCTTCTAGCTTCTATCTGCATCTCTTTCTTAGGACAGATTGTTTGGTCTCTGCCTGTTTTCCTTCCCTGAATGTTCAGTGTTTTTGAATTAAAGCAAGATAGGATTTGCCTTTCAAGTTGGCGCTGTAGCACGGCCTGCTGTATGCTAGCACTTTGAGTCATTGGCACGGCCAGCAGTTTTATTGGCTAGGATCCAAAGAAGTACACAATCAGTTTTGTGCGTTCAAAAGACTTTTGAACTAGACTTTTTCAAACAGTCCCTTTCCTTCCTCCACTGTCACATGATGTTCCTCTTTTAGAACAGATAACCTTTTACTGCATGTGTGTAGCTTGTGAAATGTCCTGGAGCTTTGTACTTTGAAGGAGAAAAGCGTTTACTGGATCTCCTGATCCTGCACTCTACTTTAAACTAGCTTTAGATTTCGAATATAAACCAGGCATTGGCAACTAAAACAATCCCAGCAGTGTTTAATGAAATCCAAAGAGTGGCAAGAATAACTCTGGCTCTTTTAAGTGTCTCTTTATTGCAATTCAAAGGTCTCAATAGACATGGGTTGCAACCAAAGTAGGAAAAAACAAATGTGGCCCACCTAAGCCTCCCACCAGGGTGACATCTAGCTTTTACAGTATGTAACTGTTTGGAATGTCTACCTAATCCAATCTAGGGGGAAAGAAACATTGTTCTCTGCTTCTAATCTTGCATCCCTGTTCAGTTTGCGCAAAGGGCGTTTATGCTAACATAAATGTTGCTTATGAATGAACCTTGTATCCATTAACATAGGTTCAGTATAATAAAATTATTTTATAGATAGCTTATCAATTTATTTGTACATATATAGTTTCAGCCTAGTATCACCTGTCAATATTAGAAATAACTTTGAACATATTTAAGGTATATCTTCTTAATACAGTTTGTGCTAGAAAAGATGTAACCTACTCCACTGATATTGCTAATTGTTACAAAGTAAAAAGACAGAGAGCCCAGAAATTACTTGCTAAATCACAGACAATGACTTATCGATGCATCCATAGCTATAATCATTTAACAGAAAAAGTCATTAAATGGATATAGAACTTGTGTAATCCAACAGTACACATTGGGGGGGGGGGCTTTGTGCTCTCTAAACATCTGTATGACAACATGTGGGATTTGGCCTTTATTTATATAGAGTAGCATGGGGGGGTTCCATGGTAGTTCTTCAATTATTGTTTTCTGCTTGTTTCTCCAGTGTTAATCCCTGCTTATCTGGGTGTGGGCTGCTGGAAAGGATGTATTCTGATCTTTTTATTTCTGTTATTGCTTTTTTGTCCCTTTTTCATAGTGTATAAATGTTGTTTATTTCTATGTATTGTTGTTGGCTAATTAGTCTGAATGCCAAGATACCTGAAATTCCCTAGTATTTTAGCTTGGTCCAGAACACTGTTTCCCAGTTGAAACTGTGATTAATTCGGATGTGTACTATGAAATGAAGGCGTTTTTATCATGTCTTCTGACTGCTAGTTGATGTGCTCTGTTAATCTTCTGGCTGTTTGTCTTACAAAGTATCTATTACAATCCTTACGCTGCATGTTGTAGATGACTCTATGGATGTGTATTACTCCTACATTTGTTTAAATATATACACCCACAAACACACATAAAACACTACAGATGTCTAACTGAAACATGGACATGAAATATATCTCTTTAGGAAAGGAGTAAACTTACCTCTTTAATAAAAGTTTCAAACTGTGAATGACTGTTATTGTGTATGTATTTTAAATTCATATAAATGGGTCTGCTTTATATTATTTTAATTTTTTTGGGTGATATTAGCTCCTATAATCATCCTGCTCTGGGTATAAATAAAAAAAATCAAATGCATGAGTGTTGTTTTCCTGTTTAGCAGTCTATAGTAAAACCTTGATTTCTTTGCTACAAAATGAGGAGCAATGAAGGATAATATTAACAGTGAAAACTTTCTATGAACAAGGGGTGAGATGAACAATTAGAACTGTGCACACAGACATCACATCAGCTGCCTTGAAGACAAGAATGTCTTAAAGAAAATCTGTGTTTGATGAGTTAATGTCCTTAATAGAACTATGATGAGCCCTATAGCCACAGTGCTTTCATTAATCAAAGGATATCCTACAATGGTACAACTTGCATCTGATTTCCCCTTCTTGGTTACAAAAATGATTAAATATATATATAACATTAGGATCACATCAAAATTGATGGAACCAAATAATACAATCAAGCCAGTAACTTGAAAACAAAAATGCTCCAAGTAATTTAATTTTGCTAGATGGTATAATCTAATTAGAACTATACCTAGGAAAGCCCCATATATAGAACTGGAATTTCTTAAGATCAAAGATCTGTTGACTGCACTTTTCCAAGCAGACTTTAATCATGATCTTAAAAACTGCTCTTAGATATTCAAAAGCCCAGATGGATACTTGAACTTTGGGAAAGCTGTTATTTAAAAGATCCAGATTTATGAGCCAATCACCATGATTATCTCTGTCTCTTTACTCCAGGAACTAGACTAGAGCATGATGACAAAACACTGAAACCCAAGCAAGGGTGATATGCAGAGTTTTCAAAACTTATCAGGACAAACAGTAACATGCAGTCCAGCCTTACTGATAGTTCACCATATATCAAGCTTCTTAATTTGGAAAGTTTCTGAATCATATGGTCAAAGGTCCTACCTTTGAAGAAAAATGTGAACAGTTCTTTGGATGCTTGTTTCTTGTTTTATTTCATTTGAATTCTATTCTGCCTTCTTCCTGAAGCAAAAGGCCAGCTTAACCAAATGAAAGGATAGTAGCTTTACAAAGAGTTCCCGCTGGCCTTTTCTAGGCACTTATCAGAGGATAGCCAGAAGGAACATTATATAATTATCTGGAACTTCAATAACCCAGAACAATAGAGCTGCTGCTGTAATTTACTGATCATTAAATACAGTACATTACATTGTCAAATGCCACATGCGAAGAACCATTATATTGAAGTCAGCAACTGATACCCTATCTGCTTTCAAATCCCATGTAGTTTTTATGGAAGTAAATTCTTAAGGAAATTAAAACAACTGCCTTTAATTACCCTCCTTTTCTGTACTAAAATTATTTTTAAAAACCCTCTATTATGTGGTTAAAATTTATTAATATTTTTATTGTTAGTTTAAGCGCACAAAATATTTCCCACTTCAAAGATGAATTTCCCCTGGATTCTTTGATCAATCAGATTTCAGCCGTTCCTCAGTAGGAGCGGCTACATCAAAATGTGCCCAGAAGAAGCTGCCTCATGAAGTGGTCATTGTTATCATAATGACCCCTTCGTTTTATTTTATTGTAAAACTTTTATACAGATGCCCTTCTTATGCTGAACTTTGGGTGGCTCCCAATCAATAATTAAAACAGTGTCGATAATAAAACAAAACAATACATATACCTATTAAAACCACAAACATAAAAAACCTGGCACCAAAATTAAGCTCCCACATAAAGTTAATAGCCCGTTGCTGAGTTATCCTGGGATTTGTCTGGTTTTTGCTGCCGGGCAGGGACCCCCGATGCCTATGACTTGTTCCCCCGATACCAGTGATCCCCAATGCCTATATGCCTTGGCCCCTTTCATCAAGCCATTCGGCGCAGGTGCTCTCGGAAGATTCAAGGCGGAACAATGAATTCCCACGCCGTCTGATCTCCCCGGCGACTTGACCCCTGCCATCAACCTGCCCAAGGCGAGTAGGAAGAAGCAGGGCCGCCTCTCGACAGGATGAATCTGGACATTGTCGCTTTCTTCTCCTCGCCTCTCGACTGTGGGCAACCCGCCCTTTCCGACCTGCGCACTCCCCCTCCCGCTCCACCCCGGTTTGTCTCCGCAGGCAGCTTCCTAATCTCTAACGGAGGCGATTGGCGGGGCAAGGCGGGGCGGGGCGTCTCAGCGGGAGACCCAGCTGGGAAATGCGCTGCTGCAGCGCCCAACTGGCCATTGGGGAGAGTAGCGCCCTCGCCGTCGGACGCCCCGAACTGACGGCAAAGTTAGCCCAGAGGCATGGAAGGAACGGCAGCCGCCCCGGCCGAGAGCGCAGCTATGAGCTACGACGTGGTCGTGGTTGGGGGAGGCATCTCAGGTCAGTGAGCTTCCGCGGCACCTTCCGCAGCCCCCGGCGCCCCTCTCGCTCCCAGCCTCAACAGGCGGCAAACTTCTCCGTCAAGTTGGACGGAGGGGCTCAGGCGAGCAGATCTGCTCCTGTTGCTTCGTTGTTTTGTTTTTGTTTTGCTTTTAAGTTCTGGCCGGGAAGACAACGGAGGATGGATTTCAGGAGGAGATCGCAGAGAGGATTTTGGACAGTGCTTCAATAAATCTTTCAGAGCACTGCAACAGAAAACAAATATTTAAATAATCCACCAGGTATGAATGGCATATGGGTTTTCTTTGTTGCAACTATCATATTTGAACATCGCTGGAGAGACAGTTTGGTGTGGTAGTTAACTGGGAAACCGCGAGTTCTAGTTCTACTTAATGTACAAAGCCAGCTGGGGTGACCCAGGGCCAGCCACTCTCTTTCAGCCCTAGGGAGGGAACAAGGGTAAACGGTTTCTGAAAACTTGCCAGAAAACTGCAGGAATGTTGCCAGAAAAGGGGAGGGAAAGACTGCCAAAGTTCTTTCAGACTGAGTGAATACAAAGTGTGAATTGCCTACTGGGCTATTTGATTTCATTTATCTTTTATCTTGGACTCTTCGACTCTTACGTATCTTAAATACCATATGTTGACTTGGTACATTTTTTTCCAGGAAAGCTATAGAGCTTGTTTTCTCTTTATCTAAGAATAGCATATATAAGACACATTCTTGCAATTGGATACAGAATGTTTTACAAAACGTGTATTTGCTAACATGTATTTCATTACCAGATCTCTTTCTCTATAAATTCATTTAAATACATCCTATGCTCTTCTGAAGTTGTTCCTTTGACCATATCAAATGCATGAAACATTCAGGAGAATCACAAATGTCATTTGTTGATGTACTGTCAGAGCTGAGTAACCTCTGCCTTTGATCGCAAAGACTCAGTGTAGTTTTGTTCTCTGCTTCTCTCTCCCCAGACCTGTTAATCTTCCTCTTCTATTTTAATTTCAAAAATGTTCAAATATGATAGTTGCAACAAAGAAAACCCATATGCCATTCATGCCTCGTGGATTATTTAAATATTTGTTTTCTGTTGCAGTGCTCTGAAAGATTTATTGAAGAACTGTTCAAACAAGTGAAATGAATTTCCGTTTTATTTGTTTTTTAGTTATTTATTATAAAGTTTTACTTAAGTCAGCAGTGGTGATATAGAAATGGGAGCAAACTATTAAAAGAGCAATGAAAGGAAAAGTCATTGGCAATTACTATGGAGTGCTCCAATCTAGATGTGTTGGACTTCAGTTTCAAAAGTTGTACTGGCTGGAAATTCTGAAATTGAATTGCAGTGCATCCAGAGGGCCACAGACTGGGAAAAGCTGCTCGTGCACTTGATAGAAATTGCTTCTGAGTTGACGTGCATAGAATTGCACTATTTACAATCTTGGACACACTATTTTTAAGGAAAGCCCATTTTAGGCTTATTTATTAATTGTGCTTGTAGTCCACCCAATAATTAAACATTTTTTTTAAAAAAAGTATTTTTAAATTATTTTTAAAATTAATTTAACCTACTAGCCCTGTTTTAACCTTCAAAAAATTATAAAACATTAAAATTGAATTATGTTGGGGTGTAAATTCTTTTTAGTTAACTAATCCACTTTCAGCTTTTAATTTTTTATCATTTTCCACAAGCCCTTCAGATTACAAAGGAATGGCACCAAAAATTACTGTTAACTTTCTATTCTAATAGTGTGATAGAACCGTAATATTGCTTTCTGAAAGATTGCCACAATCGGTTTCTTTTTCTTTTTACAACTCTGTAATCCCTTAATTCGGTTAAATCAGGGTGACTGAATGGAGCTGAGCAGTTACTGGCTGGATGACAGGTGTGGAGTTGTGTGGAGGTGTAGAGTTCGCAGCATTTTTTATCTTTGTCCCTGAGAGAGAAGTATTTGCTACTATCTGTGATTGAACTCTCAACCTTCTGAGGGGGAGAGGAGCATCTACACCACTAGACCACCACACCACTCGAAGATTGCCACAATCGGTGAATATGGAAAACCATCCTCCAATTCTATATCTCAGTAAAACTCTGTAAAATAGATGTACTGTTCAGAGACATAGTGATATTTTAATTTTAAAAGTTGGGCTCTCTAACAATAATGAAAGTCAATCAAAAATACTAGTAATAAATAATTGTACTTTACTAGTCATAAACAGTAGTAATAGTACTTTGGCTTCTGAATAATAATAACCCACAACCAGCTTTGAAACAGGTCATAACTGACTCTGTCCTCTAGCTTTGGGGTATGGCCAGAAAGCAACTCTTAAAGAATGTCCAACCTATATTATTTTTTTAAAGCACTTAATAGAAAGGTGCAGTCAGGTAAAATGTAATGAAACAAAACCAGACTCATGGCTGAACAAATGTGAGCCAGTTGCAATGTCCTTTGTTGTCTTGAGCACACTTGGGATTTGTACAGCTGCCAGAAAAAGAAATGATTTAATTTTCTTGCAGTGAATCAGAGCTGAATGCGCCCATGTGGGATGTTGCTATAGGAGGCAAGACAAAAATAACTTCAAACTATTATTTATATTTTATTTACCACATTTGCTTTCCACAAACTAAGGATTATATGGCACTAGTTAAAGAAAGATCAGGCTATGTCTGTACTATTTTGGAGACAGTATTCTACAAAACATATTAATAGCTTCTTTTAGCACTTTTAAAGTGGAGTTACAGCTATTATTAGATTTAAAAAAATAAAAATAAAGCAAGGACTGTTTTTCCACTATACATTCAAGGTAAAATATCTCACTTGTTTACATTTTAGATGTAGGGTCAATATAGTATTATTTGTTATTTCCCCAGAGTTTTCATGTTTCACTCTGGAGAAAGACCGGTGAGAAAGGTAGAACAATAGTACAATATCATGACTATAGACTTCCTTCCTTCTTTCCTTCCTTCCTTCTTTCCTTCCTTCCTTCCTTCCTTTCTTCCTTCCTTTCTCTTTCTTTCTTTCTTTCTTTCTTTCTTTCTTTCTTTCATCACGCTGATATGCAGGTTCTGAGGTTTTGCTGGTTAAAGAAATACAGGAAACCAGAAAGTGCCTTTAAGTTTTACGTGTTTATTCAGCTGAATAGACACGGACTCCTCTAAATGAGAGGAGTGACAAATGACAAGAAATCCTTGTATTTATGCTGTATAATTACATAAGCAACCCATCCAGCAAAGCTGACACACATAGGATAAAGATTGCACCCATACTGTAGATAAGAAGGGAGAAAGCAGAATTAGCTAAACATGTTCTCATTTGAGTGTTACTTAAAGATATCGTATGTTCTTGGGTGGGTTAGGACATTGGGTATTGTCCTTGCTATCCTTTCCTGACCCTGAATCCAGGATTACAAGTGACCAAAGAGAGAGAAGCCATCTATATGTATTCATAATTAATACTG